ATCTCTGCGTTATCAACCCTGTGTTCAGCACAAATCCAAATCACAGCCCCATACTAGCCACCGTGAAGAAAATTAAATCTACCCCAGTTAAAACTTTTTTCAAGTGAAATTTTTTTTTTTTGTACTAAAGTTATAGCTGAAGTTGTGTTTGGGTTTTTTTTTTTTTAAATTCATGTCTGGAAGCTATTTGAAAAGATTATCAACCTTCTGTAGAGCTCTTCAGATTTAGTATATACCTGTCAGTCTGTTTCTCACCACTTCTACTGTGGTTTTGTTCTACTGTATTAATGAAATGTACTGGATTTGTTGCTAAAGGCTGAAGATGCGTTTTTTAGGCTTTCTAATACAACTGGAAGACTTCATATTTTTAGGTCAAGTCTTTGCAAAAGCTGATTAGCAAAAGTCTTTTTAATTCTACCTCAGTAAAAAAATACATAAGCTTGCAAAAAAGTCATAACTTCACTTTTGTCATAGCTGTGCATACAGTATGAAGTACATGTGAACTAGCAGATAATTAAAATATAATTCAGATATGAAAGTTGCTTCAGGCACTGAAATAGAAATGGGATGTCAATTCAGTTGATCCCTGCTGTAGTGTTTAAGTAAATTGTTAGGGAAAATGCTTTGCTTGATGATTGATATTGCTTGCATTATTGAGGAGGATTGACATTTAGTTCATAGGTAAAGGCTAATCACTGTAATCATTTGGTAATTACCGTATTGCTGATTGGTATTAATCATTTTATTGTGCAGTCAGTAAACATTTACGTGCTTGTTTTAGGTGTACTTGCATTGTTAATCCATATCCCACATGGTAGTCTCATGAATGCTTTGGAAATGGTATTGAAATTGCTGTGCAGCATAGTCTTCTGGTAATTAAAACCAAAACAAACCCTCAAAACCCAACAAATCAAAAACCCAGAGAATAAAACCAAACCTTGTGGTTTTGTCATTCATAGGGCCTGCCTTGACCTGGCTGCCTGGTTAAAACCATACAAACACGTAACAATGTACTCTGCCTAAATACTCAGCCAAACAAACAGGAAATTTGACCTCAGGTGTATTTCCAATTGCTTGGAGGCAGAACTGTTATTTATCAGTTAGGTTTGTGTAACTACTTTAAATCAGTATCCTGTAGTCTCATTCAAAGCCACACCAGATTATTTTTCTCCTCTCTCAAAATATATACTTAGTGTCTCTTCAGAGGAGAACCCTTGGGAGTCAGGAGATAGGCTTGTTGGAGATCATGTAAAGTTCCGTAATAACAATGTGTCTTTTTCCTCTTAAGGCATCGCTGGCTCCACTCAATGACGGATGACCCTCCGACTACTCATCCACCAGTTGCTCGTAAATTTATCTGGGAGAACCATAAATTCAACCTGAGCGGCACTCCTGGGCAGTACGTGCCTTACTCTACTACTCGCAAGAAGATCCAAGAGTGGATCCCCCCTAAAACAGCCAGCAAATAACAGCAACAGAAATGTGACTTGCGTCAGCTTTGGCTTTCAGTATAAATTGTATCTTCACTCGTTTGTTCAGAATAAAGCCTCCTATAACAGCTGTAGTTTAGTTTATTGAATTGGAGGGGAGAAAACATTGTGAGAAAACATTGGGAAGAGGACAGAACACGACAGGTCTTAATCTTATGAACATACTGGGCTTTTTCTTATATCATCAGTGTCCTATCTTCACATAAGCAGCTCTCAGACTCTTCTTAGCATGATAACCATTCCTGTGACAGTCATTCCTCACACTTGAAATACAGCTTTCTCATGTTTTGATGTTATCCTGTTACAGTCTCTGCATGGCAAATAATGCACTCTTCATATACTATTTTAGGAGGCCATCTCTTTAAATTTTTATAAGTTAGAATAATAAGGCCAATCAAGAATTATAATTTTTATTCATAAAATGTGTATGAGTATGTTCATGAGTATGCAAAAAGCATTGCTGTATTCCAGTATGGTATAATACATAATATAAAACTTGTAAGACTACATTCATCAAATGACATCTCACCCCCTAAGAGAGCTCAGTCATAAGCAGAGGGCCCTCTGTCACAAAAATCTCTCTTGTTGCTTCTTTGTTGCTGAGATTTATTACAAGGTGTTCTCATAAGGCTTTGGGATGAACTGTTTGTCCTCTTGTGACAAGATTTTAAAGGTCTTTTAGAGTTTGAAAATGCACCTTTTTAGGAGGTAGAGAAGTAAAATGTATCAGAACCTAGTCTCAAAAATGTGAAGTTTTCGAGGTCACATGTGAAAGAGAGTTGGTTGGGGCTGTGGCTTTTTTTCTGTAAGTTGCTAATGGTTGACTTCTATTGCAGCCTGCTAATGTTTTTTAGCACAGTTGCCATCTCCACAAGGCTTCCTGTATCTGATGACCTACTCTGTGGATAACTGGTGTGGGGGGGTGCCCACCCAGCCCCTCAACTGGATGGGGGAGAAAACGGAAAGCTCATGGGTTGACATAAAGATGGGGAAACTGCTTGCCAGTTACCATCATGAATAAAAGAGACTTTAATATATTGCCAAGTAAAATAGACTTGCATGGTGAGAATCAAAGACAAAAAATGTAAATTAACACCTTCCCTCCCCACTTCTTCCCAGGCTCAACTTCACACCTTCATTCTTGACTCCTCTATCTTCCCCCTCCTGGCGTGAATGGGGGTTGTGGTCAGTCCATCACAGCTCCTTCTGCTTTTCCTTCCTTGTACATTCCCCCTGCTTCAGTGTGGGTCCTCTTCATGGCTGCAGTCCTTCAGGATACACCCAATATGGGTTTCTGTAGGCTGCAGTTCCTGTTGGGAAATGCCTGCCTGCTGGCGTGGGTTCTTCCCAGGATTCTCAGGAATCTCAGCTCTGGCACCTGCAACACCTCCTCACCCTCCTCCTGCTCTGAACTTGGTGTTCACATGGCTGCTGCACACTTCTTTTCTCCTTGTCTTCTGCCTGTGTAATGTTTTTTGCCCCATCTGAAATACTCTTTCCCAGAGGTACCACCACCTTGGCAGCCAGACTGAGCTGTGTCCTGTGGTGGGTTGGCTGTATCCAGCACAGGGCAGCCCCAGCCTCTCCCCACAGAGGCCTCTGCAGACCTCGCTGCCAGCACCTTGACAATTCCACCCAGTGCACTGACTTAGAGGAATCATTGCTGAAGATGACTAAGGGGTTTGGATATATTACATGCTTGCGATTGCCTGTCAAGAAGAAAAAACCTTCTTTGCTCCCCAGTAGCCCCCGCAGTGGCTGCACCGCTGACTACACTGGCTGCTTTTCCTTCATGTGCCTGCCTGACTGGGTCACTTAACCCCCAGTTGCTTCCTTATTAAATCAAGTTCGTATTGATTCATTATTTAAAAGTGGGGGTTTTAGCTTTAATTACTTTAAACTGGTTCCAGTCTTTAGTAGGAAGTAGCACCAAGATCTCCTAACCTATCTAATTAGAAAGGGGTAATGTTTAATTTACTTTAGGTCAACAAAAGCACTGAGCACAGATGAAAAGCAATTTGAGGCACACTGAGCAGTGAACATGGAAAGGACTTGTTTAACATTTTAATCTTGATAGATTATTTGACCCTAAGAACAAAGTTTGCCCCAGTGCTGCTGAAGAGCTTCATTACTAACACTAATCTATACAAGTCCTATGGGCTCAAACACAGATAGAGCAATAAACTTTATTTGGTTTAGCCTCTACTTCTCTTTAATGCATTTTCTACCTATTTCATTCCTCTTCTTTCTTTGTCCTGTACATTTTTGGATTGCTTCCTAAACACACATCAGGAGGTACAGTTGGGAATGAGACTCTGTACTCAGGGAATAGATAGTAACTCTTACTACACATTCCATGCTGAAAAAAAGAGGCATCAGGGCCTGTTTGTCCTTTTGTTGTCATCTGGAACAGAAATGTTGAGGTAGCAAGCCGTTTTGAACAACTTTGTGTGCAGCAATGCTCCACAGAAAGAGAGAAAAATGAGCTTTCCTCCTGCCCTGCTGGGCCGAAGTAAGCCTAAGGACTCAGTAGTTTGGTTTAGAAAATATCATCAATCCCACTTTCTGGAGAGGACAGAAACCCGCTCATCCTGCTTTATCCAGCAGGAACCACAAATGGTAGATTTTAAATGCAAAATTTTCACTGGCGTCTCTTGTAGCATTGTTTCTCTAAGGTAGATTGCACAAGGCACGTACAGGAAATAAAGCATATGCAGAAAAATCAGTGCTCTTCCACAGGGCTTTCTGCAAATGCTTCTGCAATTCAGTCTTTTCATCAGCAACCTTACTGAGTTATGAAAGTTCACCTTTGCTGATGACATCTGCCTCAGTATTCAGGGTCAGTTCCATTCTGGTCTACATGACATTTTAAATGCCAAACTAGCCAAGAGTCTCAGCAGATGGTGTCTTCAACCAAGTGCAACCAAAGCACTGACAGGAATATTCCCCTTGCACTAAATGTGATTCTTAATAGAAACAACCTTCTGACATGAAACAGTCTCTTTAAGAAGACAGGTACCTCTTCCAGGAGCAGCAGAGTGCTGAAACCCCATTTTATTTTAAAATTGTATCTGTACCAGTAGCTTTTCCAGTAGCCTGGAGGAGTAGCTGCCTCCAGGCTTTTGCTGAGCTCACAGCACACTCGTCTCAGCCCTGTGCACTGGAATGGAGCCCTTCCCTCCATGGGGCACGGCATCCTCCCTCGCTGCTGCCAGCGCTGCACCTCTGCCCGGTACAGCTGAAACTGGGACGCGGGGGTGGAGAATGACGGTGAGAGGAGCTTCAGGAGACCACCTTCCCCTGTGAAGATCCCAGTAAGAGCAGGTCAGTCCTGGGGCGTGTGACACGGCTCTGCAGCGCTGCCGGCCACGTGTGCCCCCTGTGCACCGTGTCAGCCCCGCTGCCGAGCCGGCTGCGCTGCACAGCAGGACACACACCCGCTCCCCGTCTCGGGATGACTCTGTCAGCAGGGAGTTTATCAAGACCCTGGTAGTCCAACAGCTCAGGTCAGCACAACACAGCATTAAAATAACAATTTTAATGTTAAATGGGGTCCATTGGGAGCGTGGTGCTTACTAAGCCTCCATGTTTTGACCTTGAGACCCAAAAATTGCCCTGACTGCACAGTTCTGGAGCAGGTGAAGATTGCCTTGCAGAAAGAGGACCTCTGCAGTAGGTGAGTACAAACAACACTGTCTAATGCTCTCCAAACTTATATTGGCCATGATGTTGGAAGCAGCTAATGAATCTGTTGTGGCTGTTTGGCAAAATATTTCAGCAGATGAGATAGATGGAGGGGAGAGGCAGCACCAGCATTGCACTGAAGAGCTTGCAGCAAAAAGTTAACATTTCATAGCCATTTCTAGCTACAGCAAGAGGAGAAATCTTTGACAGGCCAGGACATCCTAGAGCATTTAAGAAAGCTGGAATAAGAGAGCAGGAGGTCTTGTCCTCTCCTGTCCAACCTGTGCTGTACTACTGATTCCCTGCATGCTGTGCCCACTTGGGTCCTTGAGGGCCTGCTAAGAACATTCAGATAGTCACCAACTCATATTTCCATGTCATCTAACCTCAGGCTTCAATTTTTGGGATGTTTCCTGCTAGAAGGTGGTGTTGGAGAGCAGTCTTGAATGGGAATTACTGGGGAAATTGTTTTAGATAGAGCTGGAAGTCATCAGCCCAGAAAGCTGAGGTATAAATTTTCCACAGCTGTGATGCATTCAGAGTGAAACCTTTGTTACTAATTCTTTGGGGCCTATTATTCTGTTGGCAGCTGAGGAAGAGAGAGGGAACAGATCCTTGCTTTTCTAAGAAGTTAATGGCAAATCTAAAGGCTCTGCATTCATGTTTTTGCAAGGAGTGTACAAAAGCAGGTACTTCAAGGTGTGGGCAAAAGTGGCAGCCTTTAAATGGCGCTCTGGGTTCCTCACGCAAATCCCACAGTAAATGCTGGATTGCACCAAAGGGAAGCATACTTCAGTGGAAGATATCAGAAAAACCCATGTCAGTGGGGAAGAGCCCAGCAGGTATTTTGTCTTTGAGACCTGCTGAGCTTTGAACACGACCCTCTGGTTCCCAAGCAGAGCAGGACCCACGTGCTGGAGCTGGTGGTGGCTCTTACTTCCAGCATAGAGTCCCAGAAGGGGAGCACTTTGCTGGGTGTGCCATTCCCAGCTGCCAGGAGGGGCAGGACCATGCTCAGAAGACCTCAGAGGCCCTAGAGACTTCCCTTTGCTGAGGGGCCAAAACCAGGTCTGGTCATTTCCTTGTGTTTTTGAATCGCTTGTAACATCACTTCCCAGACTGAATTTTGCAGGTGCTCTTAGCTTTGTTCATGTGCGACAAAGGGCAGAATTGAAGCAGGATCTTGAGAAAAAAACCTGGTGTTTTCAAAATTTATGTATGTCATAATTACCTATAAGAGAGTTTGTTTTTTGAAAAAGCACTTAAGGCTTAAATTTACACATTTCCTCAATGCATTTTACTTTGAGGTTTTGATTCACAATTTCTTTGGTATTAAATATCAAGAGTAAAAAAAAAATTAAAACATGAATACATACATGTATGCTAAGCAAGATGTATATGAACAAATGTGCACAGGTACACAGGTAGGAAAAAAATACCACATTTAGCATAAAGACTATATTTAGGTGGAAATTTGCATTACAATGTTTCCAACAAACAGTGCTAAACTTTCTTCATCAAATTGTAAAGATGCATAACGCAAGCTAAAAACTGATATTCAAATCAAAATTTCTTGCTTGTTAATTAAAAGCATGGGTCACTTAATTTAGATTGGTTTATCCTGCATTACAAACCTGATAAGGCAAAAGAGATTGATTTTGATGTTGCAAACAAGAATTTTCGTTCGTGTGCATGAGTGAAAATAAGAGTTACTGGCTAATTTTTAACTGAGAATTTACAGCAGGAGCAATGATCACTGGACAGCTTCACAAATTGCTTCTAAAATCAAAGTTGTTTTGCAATTTGTTCCCATTAAGAAAGATATGCAGCAAACTGAAATTTTAGGAGTCTATCTTTTCTTCATGTAAATTACCCAAAAACTAGATCTATAACTTAGTGTAATTTAATCTCTGTAATAACAACAGCAGTTACAAAATCTATTTAAATAATCTGTAGTACAGTTAGCATCACCTAAACAAATCACAACTCAAGAGACTTCTGGTTTACATTGGTTTATATTGCTAGAATTCATATCTATTTCTTTCTATTTGTCTATGGTGTCATTTCTTTCCCACTCCTCTAATGGACTACTCAATTTTTCCCTGTGATATACATTTTAAATATTAGTTTTAGGGCAAGTGGTTGTAGGACTATTTTATATCCTTCATAACCCAAAGGATTTGTAGTTGATGGAATAGCATCTATCAAAACACTGCCTGAATGTAACAGATGAAGCCTCATGTGGTCGAGCATTCAGACACAGGCCTATTAATAGTTTGCTTTTTAAGGGTAACCATCCATAAAAATCCAGCGAGGCAAAACCAAATTCAGCAATATCTGTCTGTGTCATGCTTCCCTTGTGTCTGGCAGTGTCCAGAGAAAGCAAGAAAACCGTAGCATGTTTTAATTTGAGGCAGCTGTGTTAAAAAAGAAGAGGATTTATTTACCCTGGCTATTGGGGAGTTCATGGAGTTGCTTTACTTTCCAAAGAAACAAGCGAAGTGCACGGTTTTCACAGTACGAGCCTCAGATACACCTCACTTGCCCGCAACGCTGCGTTGTTGGCAGAAAGTGGCATTTTTATTATTTGGCACATCTTAACTTGACCTTGAACATCTCCAGCTTGACCTTCACATTTCTCTGGGACCCAGTCTAAGGGTGGCTTGGTCCACTCAGCATAAAGCCACCGTGAGACAGAGACCTCTCTGCCTCTGGCAGGGGAGATCACTTCTGAATCTCAAACTGAGCCTCGTCACCTTGGGTCTACATCAGGTGCCAACTCTTGACAGTGCTCTTGGCCTTCTGGGTATAGCAAAGCTTAATTCCTGGGTGTCCATGCCCCAGAGAACCCATTAATAGTGTGAATCTAAGCAGCAGAGCTGGTCTGAAAATAGAACCAGAAGCCAACAAGGGAGTTTTGCTACCTTTCTTCTGTTTCATGGACAGGATGAGATGCAGGTGATACCGAGATGCAGGTGACACCGAATGCTGCCCACCACCTGGGAGTCGTGGTGTCTTCAGGGGTTTCTGCAGCTGGCCAGGCACTTGGAGAACATGTATCTCCATTCAAGAATTTGCAACTTTCTGTGAATAACTATTAAAATGGAGGGAAAAAGTCCTGCCACTAAAATGAGCTTGTTACAGATCACAGAGAGGGAGCATAACTTTGAGCAATGAACTTACATTCAGATATTTAATGAGCAAGAAAACAAAACACAAAGAGTAAAGCAAGATTTAGATTTCTTATATTGAAGTGTAAAAATTCAAACTTTATACTTATTTGAAAAAGGAAGAGTAAGAAGAATATCTGGATTTATTTCTTCTACCTTAGAAAAATCTTTCTTCACTAACTCAACGTCAGCTGTGAGAGTTAAAGCCCATGGGAGATTGATATGGAGCTGACGCCAACTCAGACACAGGGTTGAGATAAGAGCCATGGGCTGCAGGTCAGGACACAATCTTATCCTGTCTGAAACAGCTCAGTCTGAATGTATGCAGACTGTTTTAATTTTTCTAAATTGTTTTTTAACTATCCGATCAAACTCTACCTGGCTTTCCTTTAGCTCCTACTATTTAATTTGTATTCCCCTCCAGTGGAATCTGGTTTCATTTTTATAAATAAAATTTTTCCATCTGGGGCTCTCTGTCCTGGAGTGTTGTTGCTGTAAGTACTGACAGCAAAAGTTAGTTTGTGTTTTATCAACTTCAAATTATTTCTAATGGACTTCAAATGATGGAATTCAAATAATTTCTAATCGATTTTTTCTGATTGATTTTTTTCTTCAAAAAAATTCCTTACACATCTGTTAGTCTTTGGGTTTTTAAAGCTTGAATTGGCCATTAAAGTTTAGGATTTGAAAAGCTGATGTTTCCAGGCAGAATCAGTTCAAACTGTGCAGCAAATAATAATAATGGCCAGTCTTCGTGAACGAAGATTTGGGGAAAGGTCTTTTACCTTTCCAGCCTGCGCAATGGATTTTTTAGGTGAGACACAGCCTGCGCTGAACTGAGCCCACCCTTTAATCCTAAGGTTCATCTGCTGGGGCCAAGCAAGCTTGGACAATGGCAGTGAGGTCCTCAGGACGTAGGTTTGTTTAGAGTGACCTTCTCATAGATGGATGGCCTCACAGGGCTAATGGGCTCCATCTGCCTGGGGGGACTGGGATTCGAACCTGGGTCGCAGCGGTGAGAGTCCTGCATGCTAACCACTAGGCCACCAGGGGTCCCAAATAGCAAGATGCCTTTTGACACATTTGAAAGTACAGAACTTGAGAGGGCAAAAATTAATTCAGCACCCAACTACTACTTGCTGTAACCAATTATCAGAACTGAATGAAGAATTAAATCAAGCACGGATATTTATTTTTTTTTCACTCATCAAAGGGGTTGCAAAGCTTGCAGTCAGTCAATAGGTAGGTAAGTGGGTGGGTACCTGTCAGCTCCAGGCTGGGGCCCTGGAGCTGGCTGCAGGCAGCTGCGTGCGTGCACCAGGAAGGGGCTGCTCAGGAGACATCAGCATCGGCCTCTGCCCAGCATCATGTCTGTCTGCTCTGCTCTTCTGCAGTAGTCTGTGGTTATTTGCATATGTAACAAACAAAACAGAGGCACAGAGATTAATCCCAAATCTAACATCCAGCTTTGCTTAGTAACGAGGGAACCATATTACCCATTGAACTTGGATCTGCATGCGCTGTCCCTGCTGTGGCTCACACAGATCCACAGCAACAACTCTTCCACAGATCACATATTGTTGGGAAGCAGGTACCTGGCTCTGTTTACCCTTCATCCCCCACAAATCTGTCCTCCCGGCAGGGTGCCAGCCCCTCACTTGGATCCAAACAATTGTTAGAGCATCTATCGACTCTGTGCTAACAACAGCCTTCATCCCCAGGGCTGGAAAGCTTCTCTGAAGCACAGTCCTCTCTGATGTTTACCACTTACCACCGCAGCTTAGAAAAGAAAGGACAGCAAGTAATTGCTGCATAACCCACC